ATCAAAGCCTTACTCTGCAGTAAGCAGGTCAGGTTTATTTTTCTGCTGTGTGCTCTTTTAATAAAAAGATTGGAGTGCTAATTCAGGCCTTCAAGTCCCTATTAGTTAAGCATCCCTGGGTAATACTTTCTTGGCCCTGTCAAGGAGAAAAAAAAAAACACAAGCGACTTGGCTACTACAGCATAGATCCCAGCTATGCCAAAATGTTTGGTTTTCCCAGCTCTATTATTATACAGCTTACTTGTGCAAGTCACAGCAAAACCAGACTTGGCCTGTGCTAAGGAAATAGCCTAATGTTTCATAGTCTGATGTTATTGCCTGATAACCATCATGAGGAGGCACAAAGCAATGGCAATAAAAATGAATCAGGGAGGAGCAGCCAAGAGGGGACAAATTCTGGAATTTACAAATAGCTGAAGTACCATAGTGTTCTTCTGGAATTAAAAGCACCTCACATTTTAATGACCTCTTCAAGGAAACCCCTTTTAATTCTTTCTTATTGCCATTATCAAATCCAAATCACACAAGGCTCTCTAAAGACTGAGGGTTTTCCTTTGAAATTTGCTGAAGACTTCAGCAAAGACAGCTTTAGGTCAGTTTGCACCCTTCTTTACTCTTTCTGGGCACAGTTTTATTTTGCAACGCCCCAACATTCTTGGATGGTACCATTGTAAAGGGAACCTCCAGGCATACCAAAACTCCTGACACAAACTAGCTCCTGGCAGTGCATTGCCTTCATGTTAGTTTTTTGGGATAGTGTATGTTCTGGCATCATATAATTTCTTTGATCAAATAATTCCCCCAACATTTTATGCATGGTGAGAGATAGCTCATAATTTCATACTGTACTTCTTACCTGCTGGGCTTCTTGAGGCTGTGGGGATGTCTAGGGGAAGGGGAAGCTTCTCCAAACCTAGTTAACTATGTAAAGATTTGTATTGGCTCTACACCAATGAATTTTGGTTCACATATGAAAATCACTTCTCCCAACTTTGTGTGATTCTTAAAACACTGATAGAGTTGTTAGAATAATCCTGTCTGACGTGCTTCAGGTTTCAGAGGCTTTTCATCTGGTCTCTTAAAATACTGCCTTCCCTCTGAGAAAAGGAAAATCACATAAGTAGTTGCTGAAGGAACTGATTTCCAAAGCACAAATTCCATATCTGGGAAGATTCCTTTATTCCACTAAAACATTTTCATTATCAAGAAGATAGCAACAGGAAAAAACGTAACACATTTTTATATTTTCTGCTTTACGTCTGAATTTCAAAGTGCAGGATGGCTTCTTCAGCTTTAAAAATGGCTACTATAATTAGTGCCTTTGCTAACAATTTTGAAAGAATGGCAGAAGATAGGCTTTGTCCCAAGATGAAGATGAATCATGGTTTTAGGACAGCGTGAGGTGCCATCAAAGGCAGAAGGCCGTAGCAGTCGTTTTGCAGGGCTGGGGATTGGTTTTCCTCCCTGAATGTGGTTCATACCTTCTTCAGCAGAATTGAATACCAGTCTGGTATTTAGTGCTCCTTAGTTTGTTGTTAGAGCTCCTGTTCTGCAAGCTTCCCTTTTCCAAATCTCTGCCTGCTGGCAGAGGCCAGTTACAATTCAGTCAGACTGCCTCTAGAACACACCCTGAAAGCCTGCCTGGAGAGGGAGAGGAGTTATGAGAGAGAGAGAATACGAGAGGAGGGGGAAATGAGAGAGAGAGCAATAACATGAGCAGGGTGGGGTGGCAGCTCTCTATCACTAAAAGCAAGCAAAACAACTCCAATGGCCTAGTTTCTGCTCCCCCTGTGTGTTCCTTGGCTTGCTAGGACCTTAAATTGTCTCAGCACAGGCATGTGGCTGACATGGTCAAAGACTGCTTAGCCTTCTGCCGTGAAATAAATCTTGCCTTAACAAACTAAGTCCTGTTGCAGCATTTTTACTGCTGTTCTACAGCCTGTTGTTGAGGTTCTTAACATTGCATTCACACTTCCTCCTTTCACGTAGATCTCTTCGCAGATCTTCAAAATGTATTTGACATTAACCTTCCCTTGGATACCCACATGCAGCAGCACCATCACCACAGGAGAAATCCTGACACAAGTAACCAGTGACGAATGCCACTCTGTCCTAAGGATTTAAGTAGAATTTCACCTTGAACTCATCTGCAGAGTCATAGGCACGGTCTAGACTTCCCTTGATGCCAGCTTCCAATACCTGTGCTTTGAAACTTTGACTCATTGGCATTTGACACTTGTTCTTGCCTGTTTCCTGTTCCTTCTTTCTGAAATGGTAAGGTGGAACTTTTTGTTCTGGAGGAATCAAAACTAAATCTGAGCAACTTCTCATATTCCTTCTTTCCATAGGAAGACTGGAAATCAAGTAATAGAAAAAAAAGATGAGAAAAAAACCTAAGAGTCCTAGCAATTTTTTCTGGTTTTTGCTAGGAGGGGATATAGTGAAGCTCATGAAGACAGTTCTAAACAACTGCTATGAACTCACTGTTAGGGAAGACAATAGCCCCACGTACTTAAAAGCATCTCTCTTTCGAAAGATAAAAAGGGCAGAGCTCTTGTAGCTGAGATCAAGAAATACAAGTTAGTCAAGAGGACCATGGGCCTTTAAGCAGGTATACGGGAACAGTATGTACAACACAGAAAACCGAATGGTTCCTTCTCTACGAAGATATTACAGTAAGGTAACTGTTGTGTATGTTTTGCTATTTTCTCCAGATCAATCATTTTAGTAGCAAAGGTAGAAGAGCAGGTGATGATTACATACTTGCAGTTGATGGCCAAAGGCAAGGATGACATAAACACTGAAAGCTCAGCATTGTTTGGAAGAAACTTGACACAATGCCAAAGACATCTGTTATCTTTGTTGTAAAGGCTGTACAACTGTAAAAACTCCAAAAGTACATTATGAAATGCAGGGTATCTTTCAGCATTTCAGTAACAAAAGAATCAAATATTTATCATTGCAAATCGCAATAGTATTTTTGTGTAAAAATGTGTCTAATGTGTCTAACATAACATATTTATGTGCTTAGGGGGTTGGTTTGTTCTGGTTTTAATCTGGCAAAACAGGGTAATTCTGGTAAAACAGGGTCTTATTATTGCTGAGAACTCCTATAATTTTTAGACTGCCCAAGTTAAGGCATCCCTCATTCCTTAACACATTTTTATTACTGTGTAAATCCAATGAGACTGATTCAGTTTGCTGTAAGAAAGACCAAATGCAATCAAAATTTGTGGACATTTTTCTTAATTTCACACCAACTGAATTTGTTTTCCTACATGTTTCTTTCTTTTCCTGCTTATTTTTCAAACTAGAATGAAACAATGCTGTGCTATCAGTTGACCCCAAATGGTTTGAAGAAAACCTATTTCTACCTTTTTGCATTTCTCATAAAATGCTAAACTTCAGCCTCAGATAACTGTAATCTTTATCTGACACTCCTATTCCTAATTCTCTATTTAAGATTGAAATAAAACTCTTGTTTCAGCACTCATTTAGGTCAGCAAACATAAAAGCAAAAGACTTGATGGTGTCAGTGTGTCACTTTCAATTACTGTAAGTGAACTTTTTTTTCAATTCCTGCTAAATTTAGGGCCATATAAAATTGACCCGAGTCAGGATCACATAAGCCAAATTGTCTTGTTTTAATGCTGTTTCTAACTACCTTTTCATTTCAAAAGAAAAACCTAAATGCCATCAGTTTTATCATGGACTAGATCTGTAGTGGGGATTTAAATCACATTATCACATAACCTCTCAGCCACATTATGCAGTTGTAAACCTCCAAATCTGGGCATACTTGGGAATCTGTGTCCCTGGTGACTACAAATATTTCAGTTATTATTATCTTTGCACATCTGGCTGCTTGTCTGTCATTGAATTCCAACACATAATCCATGGTATAAAAGCAAAAATTAGTTATGGCTTGCCAGCTCCACGTTCTATATTGAAAGCCAGTAACTTACTGTAAAGACATGGGCCAGGAAGAGATTTTATGAGTTCAGTCCACAGCCAGAGCAGCTTGTTATATATAACTTTGTACAGAAAACCAGTTGGTCTAATTTTGCAGTTCATTAGTCCACGTGAAAATTCTGTCACTGTTATAAGGCCTCCCTACTAGCTTTCACACTTAAATATACACTAGAAAAGTTATAAATTTGTTCTTGCCTATGTCATTTATTCATCTTGTCATAGTGGCCTTTACTTTCAGTTAATCTTTCTTTTTTTTTAAATCAATGGTGGTTTTTTTTCTACCTTGCCTTTCTTATCTTCTTTTATTTTGCTTTTTAAAGAGCTGTGATTGCTTGTCTACCTTTGTGAACTGTTTTCCTTCAGTTCTCATGAGGTATTCAGCTTCTCATAGGAAAAATGACTGTTCAGATTTCAGAGATTAGGAAACTGGAGATTATTTAGCACTTCTGCTGTTTATCATATAGAGCCTCTCTATGACATACTTTGTAAAACATCTGTATATGGAAAAGTGGGGTCATCACACAATGAATATTTAATCTAAATAGAAAAATAAGCAAGCAGTATCTTTACTCTTTCTACTCTAAATTACTAAAAGTCTTGAGGAATATTTTGTTGTTGGATTTCTCAAATGTCCTCAAAATTTTTTAGCTTCTTGACTAATCCTTCCTTCCCTTAGGTGTATCAAACGAGTGGCTCTGACAACTCAAAATGTCTCTTTTTCATATTTTCTACTTCAACATGTAGTTTCCAGGCAAGTCAATCTCTTACTTGTAGCTAGCAGAAAAAAAAAAAGAAGCCAGCCTATCATTTAAAAATGTGTCACAGTCAGCATCACTTCTGTAAAGCATTTAAGATTTACTGGCACTATTGTATAAGAAATGCATTAAGCTTTACATTAAACACTCCGTCTGTTCTGAGATTAGAGACTGTTTAGTTACAAGCATATAACTGATACCAAAAAAGATGAATTCTTTATCAGCTACTTCAGACCTAACAATTCATTGTGAATGATGTCTTTTTAGGGAATAAAAAAACCTTTTACTGAAGTAATTAAAGCCAACATTGGAGATGCACATGCAATGGGACAGAGGCCAATCACCTTCCTCCGTCAGGTAAGAATATTATAAAATATTATTCTTGATTTTTTGTTAGATTACTGAGAATGCCTTAAAATCTCTCTGATGTGTGTATTAGTATAAATGATTCCCTGGACACACTTAGACTTCAAATAGTTATTTCATAAATAATTACAAATTTGATTTCTGAGACAAAGTCCTGTACCTTGCTTGCTGAGTGTCCTCTTTCAACACAGTAACTCTCCTTACTTTTCAGATCGTTCCCCATCCATACTTTCTCTTGCCACTTCTCCTATGTTATCAGTCAGCACATTCGTTACAGATAACACACGAGAAAAAGAAAGTAGTTGTTTTCAAAGAAAAAAGCAAATGTCCTTCTTCATCTGATAGTATACTTTAAGATCTGCACATAGTTGGGTGCAACTTAGTTGTACTGTTGCTGATTTTGCATGTTTTACCTCAGGTGAGCTAACTGGTAGGTTAAATTTTAGGAAAGACTACAACAGAATCCACATTTGCGTATTATTCCTAAAACACAAGCAAGGTTTAAAACTTATATTATGCTATTTACTGAGCATGCCTCACACACACATGTAATTATCCTCAGTCGATAATAATGTAAATTCAGAGAGTCTGAGAACAAATTGAAGCTGTATCACACTGGGGTCCAGGTGATGAGATTATTAAGTCGAGCCATACAGCAAACTGTCGGCAAGCTAGGAGGACCGGAGCTTCTTAAAAATTATTTAAATCTGATGTTGTTAAAGACAGTACTGGGTACGTGGGAAATCCTTTCTCCCCATGACAACAGCCTATACATATTATACCATGTAAGCATAAAAATGAGAGAGAGACTGGAACAAATTAAGCTGATCTCAAGTAAGACCTCTAGATTCTGTGTGTCTTAAATTCCTTCATGAACTTAATTCTGCTAGGTCATGTTTCTACTTTTACTATGTTCTACATCAGCACTTCTTTTTTAATTAAATATTTCCCACAAATTCAAACTAGTAATAATGAGAAGTTATTTTGAGGAAGGATTAATAGAACATGCAACTGGGACTTCAAAATTTGTTAATATTTCTCGCTTCTACTCCATATTTAAACTGTTGATTTCGTGTCAATAAAGTGAGCTGGTAAAACACAAAAAGTGGGTGATAGAGATGTTTAGAGTAACATGCGAATAATTAACTGTGTTTTACTGTGTTTGCACTAGGCATAGCTCACTTGGACTCCAATTTTCACCGTAATACAAACAGTTAATAATTCTATAACTATTTTTGTCAGCAGAGCTTGGAACCCAGTGAAATTTCTTCACTTCTGTAAGCACTACCCTTAAAAAAACAACTGCAAACTCTTCATCAATAACCTTTGTTTTAAATTAACTAGTATTTGTGATCTTCATTTCCAAGGCAAATTAACAGTAATATTACCAACTTAAAATAACCATTTACCATTAGCACCAATTTACATTTTCTTGGCACTCACTCTAGGTAGTGGCACTGTGTACATACCCCAACTTGTTGGACAGCCCAAGTTTTCCAGAAGATGCCAAGAAGCGAGCCAGACGGATCTTGCAGGGTTGTGGAGGAAACAGCTTAGGTAAGTGTCTATTTCAGTTGCTCCTGTTGGTATTAGAGTCAAAAAAGGTAGTTTTAGTATCTGCCACGCTGGAATTTCTTAATCATGTTTTATATGATTACAAGACAAACTGGAGATGGTCTAGGGCTACATGATAGGGGGAGAGTTCACAGTGTTGCCTACTGACAAGCAGTGGCCAACAGTGCAAAATTTTGATGAGACATGTCACAGAAGAGGACAAGATGAGGATTATACAGTTACAGAGGAGCACTCACCTCGGTAACATCTAGGCATAAGCCTAAATAGCATAAGCTGAGCTTGTCTGTAATAGAAAAGTAGGTGGCAGAGAGTACTAATGAAGCTTTGTTAACTGGTTTTGGACATCTGCTAACCCTGGGCTCTGACAGCTATGTCTCCTGCTACGTCTAAGTAGGGCTGTTTACACTTTTATCATCTAGATGTTTCTCTGCCAAGGACTCTACTGTAATGATGATTTCAACAAACAACGTATGTCCACCTCAGCTGGTACAGTTCACAGTCCTGTATTTCAATTTTGAGCCATCAGCCCAGATATAAACTGGGGATCAGAAACTCACAGGCAATAATGCTTTCACAGCTGAAAGCTGGTAGCTTTTTAGTTAGCTGAGATAGTTTTGGCTGAAGATGTCAAAGCCCTATTTCTCCAAGGTAAAATAACCCTTGGAAGAACTAAAGAATGAAGAATATTCATATCATATACACATAAATAAGTACAAACTTTGCAGATTTAGTAGAGGGGAAATGGAAGAGACAAAATTCTTTATCATCTAGCAACTCTACTGCCTACTTGTACTCGGGAAATGCCACTAGAATTTCTACTCTGCAGATAGTGCTACAGCTGTTGGGTATAGCAAAGAATTCAGCACATTTAACTACCTTCCTTCAGGCAGACTAAAAGTGGCAGTTCAGAGCATGTATTAGAGTAATTGGCCTATTTCTTAATCTTTGTGATTGTAGTGCCTATGTGCACTGGCACATCTTGAGAGTAGGTGCTGTGAAACCTAATAAATTAAACAAAGCCTAAATAGTGGTTACATTAGCAGTATTTCAGCCTTGGACTATTCATAACAACATAGCCTAATACAAAATGTATTTTATCTTCGCATTTTTTCACTGGCTTTGTTTCTATATGCAGATCAAAACTGAGAAGTTCCTGTAGCTGCATGAATTCCTTTCCTGGCTTACTTTGGAACAATTAATCTACATAGTACAAGTTATCATTGAGGAGTTACTAGGGATGCATTTGAATTTTGCCTTAATCTTTCTCTGTAGTGATTTTCAAATTCAGGGATATAGTAAGAGCTCTCAGAATGCTAGGTCTTGGCCCCATGCTGGGGTGAAATTAAAGGAATTCAGCCTTGCATGATACTTCAGAAATATGTCGACTCTGTGCAAAATCCCCTTTTCAGCAGAAGATGACATATTTCAAGTAATTTGCCTTAGCTCAGCAGATGCTAAGGATGTAAGCCTGAAACAGTTGCAATATTCAAATAGGATGATCACTGTGAATAACTCTTTTAATTTCATGGATAAATTGGAGTTCTGTAAACAACTGGAGTAGAAATTATTTTTTTCCTGACATGGTATGTATGAAAAACAACTGCCCCTCTGAATTCCTGGAAACTAAAACCACTGTAGGCCTCACTGATGTACTGCCCTGGTTTTTGCTTTCTCTCCACCCTCTCTGTCTCCAGTACCACATATGTGCCCCTCCTCTTGGTTTCAGTTGCTCATTATCATCTGCACAGCGCTCCATAAACATGCAGTCTGAGGCAAATGGATGTGCAGCGGAATGGAAGTTACTCCTATCACTTCACTGGTAGTCTGAAGAAAGAAAAGGTCAAAACCTGATCCGTCCATGTAGCTGTGTTATGTTCTAATAAACTCTTATTTCCAGCACAGAAGTGGCTCCATTACAGATGGTCAAGCTATTTGCAGCGTTGTACACAAATCTACACTGGCCTATTTAAATGTATAAACTGCAAAGTTAGTACGAAAGTCTTGACCTCTGGATATGAACTAGAATAACCTCACTGCCAATGAACATTCATTTGGCAAAACTGTACTCATAGTATTGAGTCTTGTTACTCTCAGATGTTCTATAAAGACTCAGACATGCCCTCAGCTTCTGTTGTGTTCAAATACTCTGGGATTCCTTTGATATCACTTCCTTTGCTTGTAGGATAATATATCTTTCCAGTCATTATCTCCTATATATAAAAATATCTAATATATGCACATGCAGCTTTTTGGGTTGGGTTTATTCATTTGTATCCCACAGCACAAACAAGGTTCTAGTCAAAGCCATCCTTTGAGTACTATTAAGTGTAGAAGACCTGAAAATTGAATTCAGGTCTTCTATATATCCTCATGGAGTCATGAGACTCAGCCCGCAACAGAGCACAAGACAGAATGGCAGCTTAGGTTTGTTCTCCTACTTTAACAGCAGCTTTCTAGCTGTGGTCAAAGACCCATGTATAGACCAAATTTAACTTATAGTCCTGTAAAAGTAAACGTTTAAGACATGGGAGAACTTTGTGCCCTGAATTGCCATTTTGTCCCATGCAATTGCGCTGTACTTGCAAAGGCTCTTTGTCTTTATAAATCACGCTTTCAGGTAAGTGTTATCAGGCAGACTACTAGCATATAACTGAGAGATGAGAGTTCAGTCAGGCACAATTATTCCACTTCACCCAACAGCAAAGAAGATTCTGCAGCTTCATGACAGTGTTCAAGTTAGATGTACACTTGTCACTTCATTGTCCATCAGTCTTTCAGCTTCAGAGCTTGACTCCACTCCTCACCTTGGCTTAGGCTTACTTTTACTCTTTATTTGTTACACATGCTCAGCAACGACGCGCACAGGCAGCCAACCATCTTGATTTAATTAAGATTACTAGTTGTGTTCTGCAAACTGCACATGAGGCTTTTAGACTGCGGTGATCCTAAATACTTCTGCTGCAAGTAACTGAAAAGCAGTTGTGGGAGATGTAGTAGGAGGAGAGAGAAGCAGTTAAAGGTTTTTTTGGTTTCAGACTGTGGGAGAAATGGTATATTATTTTCATATTGCAAATAGAAATCTTATTTTTGTCATGGATTTGAAGAAGTTATCTTCCTTTCTCTTGCATATGCTACCTCTGTTCCTTGTTCCCATTACTAAAATAGGTGTTGGTTGACATTCTGAAGTGGTTTTCAACATGAAGACAACAACTGGGAGACAGTAAAATTTAGATTACTGTTTGCAAAATAGCCTTTAAATCCTACTTTTACCAACACAGAATATTATTTTTGTGTTTTAGTGATACCTGTTGTACTTGTCTAATTCCAAATTAATTATTTTGCTTTATGAACAAACTAACTCCCTTTCCTAATCCTTGGGAAAAAAAATAAATCCAAAGCCCTTATACGTATAAACTACTTCATACAGTGCTACCTCAGGAGTTTTGCTAGCAAACAGAAAATCTAATGTTCATTGCACTCAATTCTCTTCTCTTTCTTCACTTTTCATAGGGTCTTACAGTGCCAGTCAAGGTATAAATTGCATCCGTGAAGATGTTGCTTCATATATTGAGAGAAGAGATGGAGGGGTTCCTGCAGATCCAGATAACATCTATCTTACCACGGGGGCAAGTGACGGTATTACTGTAAGTGTTAAAATTAAGTTTGATCTAGCAGATACTGAAGTCACATTAAATGGATATCCAGTACATCTAATTATGTGGATGTAAGATGACAGCTAAGAAACAGGCACATGGAGACAAAGTCTCTTACTATACATTAACTCATACCTTTTGTAAAGGGAGTATAAACTGCTTAGGTGCCTAACTATAGATTTAGGAGGTTCAGGCCATTCAGACTAAATAATGGTGTCCTCAGTGGTTAAGACACATAACCACTGAATATTAGACAGTATTAGTCAGTGGCAGAGAAAAGACAGAATGTCTCTGCTAGTGCAGATCAATGCCAATGAAAATGCTAAAGATTGATTTTGGTAGCCAGCTTGTTTGGGAAAAACCTTCAGGTTGTGGCTTTAACCAAAGTTCAAAGATGGTCCTCAGTTAAGACAGGAATAACTGACTCTGTCAGATTTTTCCTTTATTCAGACAGATTTACTGACGCTACAACTTTCTTCACTTTTATTAAGGCTGCCTTTTATAGCTTTTTTGTGCAAGTTTGTTTTTTTTTTTTTAATGACATCTAGTGGCAGAGTTCAGTATGACAACGTTCTGGCATGCACAATCTTCCAGATGTCTTTAGTGAATTGTCTGTCCTGAGTTTATGACACCAAGTGTTACACTGGCAGCTTGTGAGGAATGGCAGTGTAGCATATCAAACCTGTACTATGGTTATTTGATTTCACCAGCGATGAACAGCCAGCAGTATAATGAGCCTCATTATTTAGTACTTCCAAGGATAAAACAATTACTGTTTCATAACTTGAGGGACAGAGGGTGTTAGTTTTTTAATTTGCATTTGGTCCTAATTATACATTTTGGATACTGGTATTTTTAAACTAATGGTGGGTACAAAATTACGTTGATTATAAATCAGCTGAGTTAGTATGTGATGAGAAGCACCAAGAGGCAGATTTTGTTCTAGAACCAATAAGAAACTTGAAAGATACTGTTGCTATATCTGAAGAGATGTTTTTTTATGGTTTTACACTATTAATTACATGTTGCTAAGCATGTTGTTTTGATTGCATCTGTACTTCAGAGTTCTCTCTTGATTATAAAGGCAAGAAATAGTTCCATTTCCAGCACCACTTGTGCTCTTTTATTTAATTCACATAGAAGAAGCCTACACACAGACACACAGCCCATGGGCAAAGGTAAATCCTCTGGACTGACCTTAGCACAAGCATTACTTTTCTGTCTGTATATGTATAACTGTATACATATAACTACATACGATACATCAGATTTCCATCCCAAGACATGCAGGCTTTTGGTCTCTTCTATTACTTGTTGGTACCTGGCCACAGTTGCTCCTAATCTAAAACAGGTCTCTGTGCCAAAGGAGAGCCTCCACGGGCCTCAGTTCTAATTTCTGCTTGTATTTATTGGCCTCTTTGGTTTTGTGGGATAAAACGAGTGGAAGACAACAAGCGACAGCTAGCTGAGGCTTATTTGCCTACAACTGGGCACAGTAGAAAAATCATGATCTTGATATTCCCGTTTCCAACTTTCCCTCTCGCTTTGTGCTCAGAATGTTTTGCCTAAACTTTGCAATTGATCAGGCACAGACATGTTCTTCAGAAGCCGTGGTGTGCAAAGGAACTCCATTAAGCTGAGTTAGACCACCCTCACTCAGCCTGTAACAATTTGAAACAAATAAATGCCCTTGCATATGAGAAAATTGCTATGCTTCTAGAATCAAAATCTACCTGACCTCCAGATTTTTTAAGAAGAAAGATCAGGAACTTACTCTAGAGTATACTATTAGTTCTGGTGTGTGACTTTTTTTTTTTTTTTACTGTTTTCCCAGACAATTTTAAAGATCCTGATCTCAGGAGGTGGAAAATCCCGAACAGGAGTGATGATCCCTATACCACAATATCCCTTGTATTCAGCAGCCATTTCTGAACTAGCTGCTATCCAGGTGAACTACTATTTGGATGAAGAAAATTGTTGGGCTCTAGATGTGAACGAACTTCGCCGTTCCTTGAATGAAGCTAAGGCATATTGCAATCCAAAAGTCCTGTGCATCATCAACCCTGGAAATCCCACAGGTCTATAGAAATTTTGTTAAATGAATGGGCTTTAAGACCAATATTTTTTTTACTTCCTCTTTCATTTGACATTGTAGGCAAATCCTAAACATATCAAATATGTAAAGCTAAATTCTAGACATCAGTGCTCTAAGTCACACAGTATGTCATACTTTTAGAAACATTTTTAGTACCGTGGAACTCCAGGGATTTGGGAATAGAGGAGGGAGCAGCTTCACTTCACTGGATCCCTCCCGAAGCCACTGCTTCCACTGAGCTTTTGCAGACTTGTGGAATGAGTTTCAGTCACTTTTGGTCTTCATCAAAGCTCTTGTCTCTGACAGGGCCCGTAGCACCCTGCCTCTGAGAGGCAAAGAATACAGATATATTCTGAACTCAGTGGCAACCACTGCCTTCTTGCAGAAGGATTTAGTTTTTTCAGTAGCTGAGGTTAATTAGTAAGAAAATAGCTCCCACTTAACCATCATGCATGTGAGTATTCCATATCATCAACTATACACAGAATACTCTTAATAAGTTATTGATTACTGTATCTTACACTTCCTTTGCTTGTGATAGACTAAGGTACCTTGAACCATAATTCTTCCAAAAATGTTCCTTAATTGCACACTTAGTGAACTGAATTCTAAAATTCAATAGCACTTTTCTGAGAAAGAGGGTTATCTTATTAAAAAGCTAGTAGTGTAACCAGGTCTGGACAAAAATATTTGTGTATATATGCTCCACTAACTTCCTTCTCACCTTAAAAATCAAACTACAGGACAGGTGCAGAGCAGAAAATGCATTGAAGATGTGATACACTTTGCTTGGGAAGAGAAACTTTTTCTTCTGGCTGATGAGGTAATGGAACATTCTGTTCTCTCAAAAGCATAGCTAAGAGTATGCATATGAAGTGTAATTTTGTTCTGTGTATGATACTGGTATTTTTTAAGTACAGGGAACACATTCTCTGTTGTCATATTAAGACAAGAACAAACATGCAAGATTCTTAATATCAGAGGATTAATATGAGATGGTTTGATCTGGATTTGAACTAGAGTGAAAACATAGGGGGGACAAGCCAGGAGACACAAGGAGGAACTGACCTAAAAACCTGTGTGATACACAGACCCATTTCAAATGAAAGAAACAGAAGGAAAATCAATTTAAATATACAAGTAACGGTTAAATTATACAAAGCAGTTCTTCCAAAGGCTAAACTACTAAGTATGGCCACATGAGATAATCATTACAGTGACTATTAATTAACAAAGAACCTTGTGTCTTCTCGTGGCTTTGAGTGTTACCACTGTTTCTTCAGTTCAGATCTGGCTCTCTAAAAGGCCGTCTTTTATCTTTAGTTGGGGGAACAGAGCACATTAATGTCTTCTGACTGTTCAGGTTTACCAGGACAATGTATACTCTGAAGGATGCCAGTTTCATTCTTTCAAAAAGATTCTGTATGAGATGGGACCCGAGTACTATAACAATGTTGAGCTGGCCTCTTTTCACTCCACCTCTAAGGGATACATGGGCGAGTAAGTCTGCTTTAGTTGTGTTTTGTTTTTTTTAAATTTCATCTTCCTCATTAATCTGGTTGGACAGCCATTTTGTGACCTGAAGGTAATCCACTGTCTTCTATTAATTTTAACTAAAAGCTATTAAGAAAAGGGAAAGAAGCATTTAAAGCACAAAGGAATGGATTAGTTCACTGGTTTTCAAAGTACTGAATAATAAGTGTATTTATTTCAGACATCTAATGCCTCAGTTCCACAAAGGTGAAATTCTACAGTCCTAAACCAGACCTGTGATAAAGGAAGATAAGGTCTCCAACATTCAAGGGAACAGCTCAAGAACCACTGGGACATTTTGATATTACAAATGTTTGGGTTTGGTTGTTTTGGGGAGGAAGTGAGGGGAAAAAAATAATTTTCTGATTAAATGAATGCTGCTACAGCCATATGCTCTTGTTCTGAAGAGCAAACAATCCAAGATAATCATTAACTTGCCTAACAGGGAAGCTACACGTACATGATTTTCTCTGTATGGGATACTAGGGCTGAAGGACATACCATTTAGTTCCATCTTAAAGCATTATCAATAGAGCAGCTGTTTCAACAACCTGTATGTTACATATTGTAAGATCCTCGTTAATTGTCTTTGCACTTCTGCAGTTATTGTCATTACTTTCCCAGTATGTATATACTTGAGGTTAACCGATCTTTTCTGCTCACTTTAATCACAGATGTGGCTACAGAGGAGGTTACATGGAGGTCCTTAACTTGCACCCAGAAATTAAAGGACAGCTTGTTAAGCTGCTTTCTGTTCGCATTTGTCCTCCAGTCTCGGGACAAGCAGCAATGGATATTGTAGTGAATCCTCCAGTACCTGGAGAAGAATCTTATTCACAGTTTATAAAGGTCAGCAATAACGTGCTTATTCCTTTGTACCTTTCATAGAATAAAAGCAGGAATCACAGAATGGGTTGGGTTGGAAAGAGCCTTAAAGATCTTTTTCCAACCATCCTACCACGGGCAAAGACACATTCTGCTCTAACAAACTGCTCAAAACCTTTAGGTTCCTAAAGCTATCATGAGTGTCTGAACGCAAAATAGGCACAGAGACCAGACTTCTTTCTTCCTGGACAATCCTGTAATAACACCAATTTTTTAGAACTATGCAGGGTATTTTAAATTAACTCAGTATGACCATCTTTAAAAATATTTTTATTCCTTTCATGGTTCCTTTCTTTAGAAGCCAAAACAAGCTAAGAAGGCGTTATCAAATCAGGTTTATTGCTGATAAATTCAACTCTTCTCCTGTGTCTAGCATGACAAAAGAATTACTAAATAAGATTTGCTTTTAGAGGGATCTGAGTCCAAAAACAGTTGTAAAATCAGCCTTGTTCTCAGGTATCCAGTGCCTCTTTATACTGAACACCATGGTATTCTGTATTAAAGTATACATACATGTAAAGATGAAACTGACTCTGGCCTAGGAAATTACAGTATTGATGCAGATCAAAAGATCAACTAACATGGTCTCTAAAAACAGCCAAGAGTAGATGCTCAGAAGGAAGAATGTAAGAAGAGGGCATGCAGATCAAGACTTCTATGATTCTGCAGGTTACTGTCTATCTACAACAGCTTGTAACTGTATCCTGCTAAGGCACTGCCATTTTTAAGAGTATAACTGGAATTAGAACATCATTTGCTCTAATAGCTCAGCAGAGTCCTAAAAGCACTTATTTCAGGGAAGGCTTCTTGAGGCATTGTAGTATTCTCTGGCATTTTTATTGCCACTTCAAATATGTCAAACTGAACAATTTCATTTTAAACAGGAGAAGGAGTCTGTTTTGAACAATCTTGCCCAAAAAGCCAAACTAACAGAAGACATGTTTAACAAAGTACCAGGATTTCACTGCAATCCACTTCAAGGCGCTCTGTATGCTTTCCCACGGATCTTTATTCCTTCCAAAGCCATTGAGGAAGCAAAGGTCAGTCAGTCATTTTTATCCCCATCCATTTTAACCTTCACACACTTGTGCCTGCTGCTTCCAGCGACGAATTTTTATTCCAGAGATAGCTCATGAAGTTCCAAAAGCAGTACTTCATTGACTACGTATGATCCTAAACATAGCATGATCCTAAACATAGCATGACTTTTATTTTAAGAGAAGAAAACAAAACAGAGCATTTCATCACAGTGGTAAGGGTTCCAGGTGGAGAAAGTTACCCAAGCATGTTAGTGTTGAACAGATGAAGTCACAGGGCGGGCATAGCCAGACCTGTGCAAATTCCCAACCACTGCCCACACCTGGGTTAGGGAGGCCAGCATGTGTGACGGGGACGGTGCATGGCAGGGCGCTGCTGACCCTGCGAAAGAAGTCCCATTCTGCAAGCGTGGCAAAGAGGGAGGGAGGTTTCCTTACAAATTTTATTTCTGTACAATGCCTTCCAGGGTTTGGGTCAGCAAGTTATATTACTAAATGACAAGCAGTTTTGTTCCTAAATAGATCTCTATTATCTAATGTGTAATATTCATTTTTTAAAGGGAATTTTATCAGCATAGCTGAGGATGAAAATAGGGCTGGTTTCCAGCTGATGATTTGATTAGGAATATAACCTGCATGTATTTAAGAACTTCCACAGTTATTAATCAAGGGATTTTCTAGTCAGCATATAATAAAGGGGGAAAAAATAGTAACTGGCAACAGAACTGGAACACACAGCTCTCAAATTAATTTCATCTCGTCAAATGTCAGTGGCTTAGATTTTTTTAAGTACAATTTTGAGACTTTTGACAAAAAGTTACAAGCAAGTCAAGGAGAAAAACAAAATTATCTAAAACCTTTCTTTTGAAGCAAGTGTATTGTGTAGTTTCTTAGGCTGTATTCCTCCATGAAGTTACTGTTAACTTACGGTGTGAGGTGTCCCATTAGCAGTGTTCTTCATCTTCTTTAGTAAACAGAATAAGGAACTCACAATGTAAGATAAGGTTTCGGGAAGAAAAGCGATCATGAAATTCTATATATTTGGAATATTTTCACTTCAATAATTCCAAAGCATCCATTCCCTTAGGCTCACAAAATGGCACCTGATATGTTCTATTGCACGAAACTTCTGGAAGAGACCGGAATATGTGTTGTACCAGGAAGTGGATTTGGCCAAAGAGAAGGAAGCTACCATTTCAGGTACAGTTTCTGTTTGTTTACAGTCAAATGAAACATAATAACTAAGTACCACCCCAGCACTCTCTCTTCTGATAAAATATAAGGATTTTTATTTCAGTCTTACTTTCTACTGGACATTTTCTGCAGACTGACAGCTAGGTCAAAGACGTGGTCTGTTCAGGTTTTTTATGGTGTTTTCACAGCTCAATGACATAGTTTTATTCTATTTTTATATACTGGCATTTGAAATGCCTTCTCCACAAAATACAAACAATAATAATAGCTTATACTCTAATCTTAAAGTTGGTTAGGGCATTACAAAAATTGTCCTACTTTCCTCTGGAGGAGGAGGGATTAAACAGCATTTCCATATGGAGATACTGTGTGAAAGATGCAGTATCTTCCCTAAAAATCCGCTCCTTAAATACACTGACTGACTCTTCACTTTACCAAAACAAGATGTCGGTCAAAATCTTCTAATACCAAAACAATGCACATAAACTCTATTGCTTTTGCTTCCAATAAACAGCACTTTACTCCACCCGAGCCACTGACAGCCAGAATTTATCACAGAATTTAGCCTTGTTTGATCTGAAGCAACATCACAGAGGGTACCTCTAGCCATGACACTTCTGCAACACTGGGTTAGATATCTGGGTGCATGCAGCTCCAGAGTAAAGATAGTGTGAGTTCATTCCTGCACCAATATGGGGAAAACATTTTGTTCTGTAGGTCTTGCATACACACTCAACATGATTTTCATATTATGCAGAACAAGGATAAAGGGGACTAATGATTGCAGTGTGGGATCTCGCATTATTTTAATGCTTCTGAATTAAGTTTTTGGTTTAAAAAGAAATGTACATTTACTCATAACTGCCCACCCCTAAAGCTCAAAAAAATGGGTATAATTTGGTATAACTGCCCCCAAAGTGGAAACTGAGTTGCTCTTGTTTCTTACCAATAACCTTCTTTATCACTCAACAGAAAATAACAGTTTTTAAATCCTTATATATTAACTAATGGAAACAAATTGCCCTAGTTTAATAGTATAGTTAAATTGAAGCATAAATACTGAAAATAAGAGAATAGTATCAAAACCAGATAATAAACAATGCATTAGTAGCTGTGCCCTGAGATTAATCAATAACTGTGCAAGGATCACAGTTTAGTTTGTTTTGAAGATAATGTGGGTTGTTTTTTTTCTTCCTTTAAATATTATTTTTCAGAATGACCATTCTTCCTCCAGTAGAGAAGCTGAAGATCCTACTGGAGAAAGTGAAAGACTTCCACATAAAGTTTCTTGAAAAATACGCATGAAACTACTGTGGCTTTTTCCCCTCATCCCCTCCCCTTCAAGACGAATGCAGAAAATGAACCAAGATGTGCTGAGAATGTGCTGTTCATCTAATTTAACTAAATTCAAAATTTGGATTCTGCTACAACTTACTGGACTATTAAATATGATGTCTGATATAGAAGACATTGTTACGCCAACTTTTTTTTTAAGGGTAAGGGGAGAATGTGAAGAAAGTAGTGAGAAAAGAAGTCAGTAGATGATCTTGTGCCTTGATAGGAAGTTACATTCATGAACTTTTGACTGAACAGGTTGGGGAATGGAGTTGCTCATTAAAATTACTACTATTGTGTGGGTTTTTTACAAAATGGAAATGCCAGTAGCAATTGTGTAGCTAAAAACACGTTTCCCATTTTAAAATTCTACTAAACAAAAATTCAAAAGCCTACATTGTACGCATCATTCAGTTTAATTTTTTTATTCTTGTTCAGTATGAAGTGTTCTCCAAATCTGATTAAGCATGTAGGTGCAGCGTGCTTATTTAAACAACAACAACAAAATCTCTGGCAGATGTGTGCCCTTGAACTTGTTAGAAAGAAATCCTACCATCACAGCACAATCCAAGTGGAATGTTCAGAGGAGTGAACATGGTGTCTGCTTGAACCCTTTTTTTATAAAAGTGAAACATAACAAGGGATATCAGCTTCTTATCCATGTGCTGTTGAGCACATTACCCAGCATAGGAGCACTGAACATTTCCTCTCACAACTCCACGAGTCTCCCATTAACTCACATCTTTTACATACACGGAACATAGTAAGTTACTGTTTCAAAGCAGATGTGAGTACTGTCAATCCTTTCCAGTAGGGTAAAGTACAACACTATTTCAGAACTGCTTCATCTATGGAGAACATTTGGAACCACATGACTGAGAGACCCATTAACTGGCCAAAATCCAGCTGAAACTGGCAAGGACCAACAAATGTTGTTACCAGGAGAAATGCTGGGAATGATTTCGCATGCAGGAAAAGGTATTCAAAGGAAAATGTCTTGCACCAAGCATAAAGATAGTAACAGCTCACTCTTAAATCTTCCACAGCCATACTGCCGGCTGAATGATCCCGAGTGCTTACTAAAACCAAGCTAAACCAGGTCACTATCTAGGAGCACAGGTGTATTACTCTACTAATCTATGCCAGTTTCTCTGCACAACAAAAGAAAGCTTCTGTTTTTCTACAGTTGGAAGCTGGACACCTTCTGCTAGCACTGATAAAGGCCTGAAGGAACACAGCTTCCAGTATTCAGCCATAAAAGCATTAGCATTTGTCAGGCTTAGGATCAGCATTTACAAAGTTTATTCATTAAGAATATCTCAATTAATCTAGTAATGAATTTTAAGTTATTTAGAAGTAAATTCACTTTAATCTCTAGTAGCACTTTGTTGGGCTGCCTTTGTAGCTGGTTCAACATCCTCTGCTGACCCAGGTTACTAAAGCCAAGGGCTAGAGAATCACCATTCGGATAAAGCACGTGCCAATCATTATGTGTGAAAGAGATGTCACCTGTAATTGTCCTTGCAACAGCAGCTACTAGTCTACGACACAGCGTTAGCAGTTGGTGTACTGCTCACCGTTCCTTACTGAAGTCTGTGAAAAGAATTTAGTACTTCTCAATCACCTGCCCGTGGTCACAGGTTCATAAATGAAAATGGCATGCTGCTGTGCAAAGTTACTGTGGAGGCATGTAGAAATAAAAATCCTTCTGTCCTTGGAGAAATGGACTTCTTGGAGGACAGCAGACTGAGAACGCTTACCTTGCTACTTTCATTCATAAATACAACCTTTTTATCTGTTAGCATTCTCTACTTGGCATCCTTAATATGCACTAAGAAAGCAAATCCAGAGGGCAAAACTGTAGTAAGAGGTCCGAATATTGATGTAAAAATAAGACAAAAAGCACTTTCCTATTCTAGGAATGTGTCCAGATCAGATCTGGCTTTGGACTCGTGATGCAGTGCAGATTGAAGCTAAGATCTAACAATGGGAGTTAGAATATTTTTTTAAATTTTTTGTAACTACAGCTTTTTCATGGGGTAGTATTTGTAATCTAATAAGTCAATAGATTTTATATTTGCCTTGCATTTGCACCTGATACTTCTGGAAAAAAATGTAAAGGTTTACAAGTTTCTAATGATAATTTACAGGTGTGAAAGGCTCTTTGTTTTAAGTCAAGACAGCAATTCTTACACTTCTAAATCAAAATATAATGGCATAAACTGAGTTTTTTCTAAACATTCTATTATGGTGCCTTTTATGTTTCTGACATTATAAGGGATAACAATTTGTGCATCTCATATGGAAGGGTGGTGATTTCTATTCTCCGTCCACAATATTTGTATGTACTGTGGTAACGTTAACGTGCATTTTTGTGGAACAATCCTGTAAAGCTAAGAAAAGAGGCTTGTTTTCCATGTCTTTGAAATATTTCATTAATAACAGACAATCCTTACTTTCAAAAGCATGCTTTTCCTACCTACAGGTGCTCCTTATAATGGTACTTCAGATGTACAAGACTTCCAAATAATAAAGCACATGTTAAAAAAAAAAAGTAACAGTTCTCCATTTTCTGTGTTCCTGAAGCAACATTTGCTGGATTGCACTATGAGACATTTAACTTCATGTCAGTATTTACTTCAGTATTTAATCCATGTACCAAGTGATGAATTTCTGCATCACTCCAGTTTATGGACTTGAAATTTGTCAAACTTGTTATCGCAAAACTATTCCCTACAAACAAACAAAGAACTGTACTTAGAGATGGTCGTAGGCATACTTAATGCTCATAATTAATCACAGCTTTTTAAGTAAGGAGTTGTAACCAGGAGTGAAGCAAGAAAGGCTTCCTTCTTCACAGAGAGAATCAATCCGTCAGTTAAGGCTGATCCACTGTGGCCTGAAAGCTTTGGCGAGGGGTTGGTTTGGTATTGGCGTTGCTAAAACGAAACCCCAGCTGTGAAACCGGGACCATCCTACACAGCAAGCTCTCCCCGTACCCGCTGGAACGGTGGCAGCGCACCCTCGCCGTGCCCCGGCGCCCGTCACTACTCACCCCACGGGCCGCACCGCAGCCCTCACCCGCTGCGGTCAGCAGCGGCCGCTTCAAAGCAATTACCAAAGCAGCGCAATTACCAAAGCAGCGCAATTAACGCTGTTCCGCCAGGCCAGAGCGCCCGTGCCTGTGGCGACT